AGTAAATAAAGGACATTAGATAAATTCTTTGTAACGAAAGAAACTGCAAATTTAGTTGGCGGGTTTTATTTAACAATCCAGAGATCGTACCCGAAGGATTTAGGAAATATTCGAGGTTGATTTAGTAAAATCGTAATAATACGATTACCCTACTTAATAAAATATGTGTGAATTCGCCGGACCCCCATTTCTCAAAACTGCACTGACTAAAAAAGTTTTTTTGGTTGGATATATGTGTGCTTGATGGGTAGCGTTACCTTTTCGATAGTACAAATTTCAATGTTTCCTTTCCACTGAGAAGAGTAAATTTGTTGCTTTCGCTTTCTTTTTTGAATTTGTTCCTGAAGTTCATTTATGAAGTTGGAGTATTAAGACGTGAGTAATCGATCTTTAATAAAGGAGTGGCCAAAAAGTAGATAGCTTGTTTAAAATTTTCGTAAGCTTTTAAAAACGCAATAATAATTTTAACGTAAGTACGATAATAAATATTTAATTGATTTGAATGTTTCACATTTGCTTATTGCCGGTATTTCGGTTTCTGATTCGAATTTTCAATGGAAATGGTAATTTATGTGTATTCATATGTGGATAAGCTCTCTATATTTTTTTCTCAAACTAAATTTATGTATACAGATACACTTCCTCAAGTTCATACATTTAAAAATAATAACTTTAAATTTAAACTTACTCATTCCACCGATAATATATATTAGTGCATACATCTATACTTACATGTATGTGTATATATATATATATAATTTTATGTATATATATATATTTATATATTTATTTATATATGTGTGTATATATATTAGTACATATCCACATCTATATGCATTCATAAGCCGAAAATGTACAAAGATCGAGACGAGATTCCAACTGGAATCGCATTTAGAGCACAGAAACAGTTAATTGACCCAAGTTCATTTAACTACTCTCTTTAGAAATAGTGAAAACCGCTATGCCCAAAAAAAGGTTTTCATTTGAAATAATCATAACGCCTAGAAAGGTTTAAAACATTTATATATGTATGAATGAAATATAGCTATATTTTAACTATTACATGTATGTGCATATGTATATAAAACGTCTCTTTCTTTGTTATACTTTCTGGAGCGAAGCAAATCGTAAATCCTTTGTTCTTTAAGTATATATCCAAATGAATTTATACATAAGTATATACTTATATACTTTTATTTTCTTGTGTAAATGGTGGATATTGGAACATACATATGTTCATATTCAAACCAAAAACAATTTTATAAGCGACGGAACAAACATGGGTTTTGAGTCATCCAAATGCAAAATATGTGTACACTCATATGAACATTTATATACATTTGTACTCGTATGAATAATAGTAGTTGATTTCGATAGCTGGTAATGACTACAAGGGAAAATAAACAGAAGTTTAATATAAAATTATTAACATACATTTAAATTTAAAAAATAAATGTAATCTTTTTTATACGCGTATACGAATTACTAACGAAATCTTTGTTTTATTTTTTGTTTAGATTCAAAATGGCATCGCCTGCACTTAAAGACCTCCCAAAAGTAGCTGAGAACTTAAAAAGTCAACTTGAAGGCTTTAATACTGATAAATTAAAGAATGCTAGTACAGCCGAAAAAATTGTGCTTCCCACAGCTGAAGGTAATATAATTTAATCAGATGCATTAAAATGCAAGAACTATTTTTTTTTTTTATTTTAGATGTGGCTGCAGAGAAAACTCAGCAATCCCTAATTTCTGGAATTGCAGCTTTTAATCCATCCAATTTGAAGCACACCGAAACTAATGAAAAAAATCCCTTGCCCGATAAGGAAGGTAAGGTTTTCGATATAGCTTATACAATAATAAAAAAAAAACTGAATTAAATTAACCAATGCAGCTTGCGAAATTAAAATCTTTATCTAAACATACAGTGTATAAATTTGTAAAAAGAAAAAATGATTCATTGTTTATTTAATGTGATTGTTTTTTAAGCGAAAGCATTTTGATAAGCTCTTTATCTAAATCTAACAAGAATATAGCATATTTTAACAATGGTGCAATGTATTTAAATAAATAATTACTCTCTTTGTTCATATTCATTTATAGCAATCGAAATGGAAAAAGAGAAGAATCAACTCATTTCTGGCATTGAAAATTTCGATTCTAAGAAATTAAAACATACTGAAACATGTGAAAAAAATCCTTTACCCACTAAGGAAGTAATTGAAGAAGAAAAGAAAGCCTAAAAGGGGTCCAGGAAGCATTCAATTACATTATTTGAATGCTTATTTTTTTTACTCATTCCTAATATATAATATTATTGAAAGAGATACTACTTTGTGAGAATTTTATAATTTTACATATTTATAATAAATGATAAAAAATAAATGGCGATTGCGTTTTTATTGATCTGACCTTAATTATGTATAATAGTATTATTGTCCATTTCTACAAGCCTATATGTTGAAAAAATCTTTATAAATTTATATCTAAAGGATACAACATAATATTAAAAGAAATCGCTTTGAAATTTCTAGAACTAGACTGCTAAACCATGGAGAGGATTGAAAATATATTGTTACAGAAAGAATTCGTAAAGAGAACAAGTCTCAAAATTTGAATTCTTATATTTTCTTTGAGAGCAGTGCCATATAACCCACGATAAATATAGCTTGAAAGTGCGACCGTCGATAACCATATAAATAATGAAGGAATATCTAAATTTCTTTACTGTGGCAAAACCACTTTAAAATATAGTTGTGTATTGAACTCGTAAGCTCTTAAATAGATATTTTACAGTTTTTAGCCATAAGAAAGTTAATTCAATGATATTTAATTTGCGCGAGGGTTACCAAGTACTACAATAGCAGGCAACGAGCTCGAGCTGTCTCGAGAGACCCGCGTGACCCTGGCACAACTTAGGTCTGGATATTGTAGCAGGTTAAACTCCTACTTATTTAGACTAGACCCCAGCATACCCAACGTATGCCCTGCATGTGGAGAGTCTCCGCACGACACTAACCACCTCTTCACATGCCCTAGCAAACTAACTCATCTAACCCCCCTCTCCCTCTGGTCCAACCCCGTCGAAACAGCTCATTTCCTGGACCTCGGCGAATTAGACTGATCAAACCTGTGCCTAAGCAGGGTTAACGAACCGCTACAACAACAGCACTGCAATATATATTTGGGGAGAACTTCTTTCAAGTATGTCGTCAATGAGTTAAGTCATTCTTAAAACGTTAATAATTTGTCAATATTAGTTTTCGAGTTTTCTTACAACTAGTAAACGATAAAAAAAAATCATATCAGTGAGCAAATGCAGCGAGTAGGTATACCTCGTCTCTGAAGTGTGTCTCATCATTATTAGACCGCTCCGTTATTACCCTAACTATGATCAGACTTTTTTGTGTCTCAAAATTAAGATTTAACATTACAATAGTTTTTATTCCGTGAAAATTTTAATATCTTTTGCTTAAATTCGGTATAAATGTTAAATATTCATTGCAAATAACGTTAAATCCTTTCGATGTTAAGTTATACAACCATTTTGTTATTGTATGAGTACATAACCAATTTTAATTATAAAAAGTACACTTTACTGTTAATTATATATAATACTCGTAAAAATTTGCATGCACAAAACTTGGTTTTATCCGATCGTTTCCGTTTATATTGCGACCACGAAGACATTAGATGAGTTATATATATATGTATAGAAAACATCATCGTTCAAATAAGCTTTCATGAGGAATGTGGAAATGAGGTTTCAAGGTTTATTGTTCATCTTTGTCTTTAGCTCCATGTTTTAGAATTCTAGTGAACTCTATATAATCGAATAATCCATGTTTTATAGGTGCCTCTCGATACATCTCATCTACCTGTAGTATAAAATGAAAAAAATACTCATATAGTCAATATTGGGAGGGGTTGCTTTTTGTTGATATATGTATATACGGAAGCATTCTTAGAAACTACTTACATCTTCATCGGTAAAACGATCTCCCATTGTTGTCAATAGCTCACGCAACCGGTCTTCTGGCAATACTCCGTTATTTTCCTCGTCGAAGCAACCAAATGCATTTTTAATAACATCCTCTGGATCCGTTCCTTGTAGGCGCTCACCAAATAACGTTAGGAACATAGTGAAATTTATTGGTCCAGGTGCTTCGTTCATCATCGCTTCTAAATAATCGTCTGTGGGATTTTTACCAAGAGAAGCCAACATATCATGCAAATCTTCTTTTTCAACAAAACCATCTCTGTTTTGATCGATCATATTAAAGGCTTCTTTAAATTCGGCAATTTGTGCCTGATCAAACATAGCGAACACATTTGACGTGGCGCGTTGTGCACGCTTTTTAGTAGTTGCGCGACGTCCAGCGGTTTTACGTGAAGACATGGTTATAAATAATAAATCTGAATAAAAGATTTTTGAAAAGTAATTATTTAAAATATACATATCTACGCACAAATGTAAATTTATGTTTAGTACGGTTTATAAAATTTGAATGGTAATTTAGTAAAATTAAAATAAATTGCAAATGGCTGCAATAACTGCAACAAACCAGACAATACGTCACAACAGTGTAAGATACTAAGCTACATAAGTACATATATAAACAATTCTTTTTCCAAAATTGTGTATGTTGCTTAAGGATATGTAAAGCAAAAGAAAAGCTTAGATAAACACCAAAAAAGTTAATCAAATATTCAAGCCATACTACATCGACATCACATAGAATCACAATCAATGTATAAATACCATATTAAGAAATACTTCGTTGATTTAACATGTTGTAAAAATAAGCATATATAAGTATATGTGTTTGTACGTACACAACATTAGTCACTGACGTTATGGGCCTTGGTGGCACCAATGTGCATATATGGCAAATAATATATTGTACATTTAATTCAATAAAATCAGTACTGCACATTTGCACAACAAATTCCATTGTGACTGAAAATTCGTCATATTGTTCCAATTGCAAATAATATAAGATCAGCAACAATATAAATATGGATGTAAATCTTGTAACAGTTTTTGTAACAATTTTAATGCCAACATAGTAGCAAAAACAAGCCAAGCTAATTTCCGTTTTTTAGTTATCAGTAAAAGTATTTTGCACCTTATTTGGAATCTTTCATCACCCTAAGTATTTTGAATTCATATTTATGTACACTATCGTCTGATATCAAAACATAAGAATGTTGTTTTATATTGATTGCTTTTGTTTTCTTAATTATTTTATTATTGCGTTTATTACAACTTGCCAGTAAATGTTAATGTAGACTGTTTTGCAATTCTTTCATACATACATGGGCGTTTTTATGATCCAGTTTAAATTTTTTTATTTGGTTGGGAAGCTTTTTTCACTTAACTTTATGAAAAAACAATGCGCAATGGGGCACTACCCATTACATGTTACCTCTATGGGTCAACCAGAGCAGCTGTTTTTTGACCTGATTCGTGACCTATCTTCAATAACTAATGCCACTTATAAATCCTTGCTTGATTAAATAAATCGAATTAGCGAACGTTTTTAGACTAATGACACAGTAGATACAAGTAAGTAATACATAAGGGCAACGTTAATTTCACGAATTTTTGGACTCTTCCTCTGCCCTAACAAGTATATGAATGTAGATGCATATTACTTCCAAGCACGTTTTATGTTGCAGTCAGATAAATAGTACTGCAAAAAACATATACTTCTTATTTAATAATTAAGCACAAAGACACTCCAGATGTTTTTATAAGTCATTAGTAATAGTTATGACAGCAGTAACATATTTTCCTACAGGCGTTTTTGTAAAAATCACTTTTGTATACGTAAGTGATTTATATTTTCCAAAAATGTAATACATTAACTTAAAATTCACTAAGAGATCTTAACTTATAATAAACACAACCTATTAATATCAATGTGTATTTTTTACGAAAAGATGACACTCTTCCAAAATGATATATATCTATATAAATTTTATAAAACTTAAAGTCAGACAGTACTTACAAAATTACTTCGCTGTACCACAGTCACACCTAATTGTTCGAATAAATCAAATAAAATACCTTTATTTTACTGTGGGCAAATCACAAAGACGAATGATTCACTAACAGATGAGCAATAATAATTTAAACTTTCTTTAATCGATATATTGATATTGTCGCTAAGTACAACTTAAGTACTGTTACGATTTTACTAAATCAACCTCGATTATTTCCTAGATCCTTCGGGTACGATCTCTGGATTGTTAAATAAAACTCGCCAACTTAATTTGCAGTTTCTTTCTTTATAAAGAATTAATCTAATGTCCTTTATTATCTCAGTAATTCACAATTCAATTATACTGCACTTTACTATTTATAATCACTAACATCGACTTTCACAATTTACTCTACTTAAATGTAATTCCCAACGCGTTCACTTTACGACTTCACTGATGTTAACGCCAACCAGTTTGCTTTGTCACTAACTTTACTTGCAGCTGAGTGTCGCCTTTATATAGCAGTCGGCTGCTCGCAGACGAAAGCGTAGAAGCATCGAATTGTTCGC